AATGGATGCTACAGCTTCTTGTTGCTTTCAAGCTTAGCTTGTAGCAGACGTGTGCACATTGCAGAATGACATCTTTGATCCACTGGTGAAAAGGACACTTTGATTCGCTCCTCTTTCATCTATAACTGCTTCGGACAACAAAAGTGTATGCAGGAAAGTGGTTAAGAGTGCACAATTGTCTGTGTCTCATGTGTTGTTTTGTATTACTTGGCATTTTTTTGTTAACTTTTCTTTTGATAGCGGCACAGACACCCGCAGCGGCTCCTCTTGTTTTATGTTGAGAGGGAAGAAATTTCATCTGTGCTGCATGTTACACATACAGTACATTTGACAATAAAGTTTATCCAATCCAATCAATAGTGTTTCAATGACAATCATTTGACCCTCATTGTATCCTACACTGGTTTGGGTGTAACCAAAAAAAAAAAAAGATGTGTCACACCATCAGCCCATCTGTCATAAACGACTCGACTTTTGTACTTTTCGACGCTGTTCGGACTGAACGCATGAGGAGTCACTGAGCACAGAATGAATTAGCTGTCCTTTGTTTCCATACAAACTCTCATCCTGGGTGGCTGCCATTTCTCCCTCCTCAAGAGTTTCAACAGATTTGGGGAAATTAAAACATTTCTTTTAAGGAAGTGAAAATGTGAACAAGCCCTGCCGAAGCCACGACATGGTGCAGTGTCACTGTCATTTGTTCAGAGACGTGATGGTTTGCTGTTTAGAGTCTCTGATTTGATTATACGCTTACCTGCCAGACTCCGACAACTGCGTTGGCTATAAGAATAAGCAGAATCACAAAAGGCTCCACGAAAGCTGTTACTGTTTCTTCTCCCTCTTCAAACCAGGCCAGCACCTACAACAGAGGAAACGTTGGCTTTGAACGCAATTCAAATATGTGAATGGTCTCAACCCATTGACAAATGTATCGCAAAGAACCACTTCAATTGAAATCACGACAGATGAAGCCATGGCAGCATTTGCGTTGGTAATTCGTAAAAGAAGTTACGTGTGATTCAATACATAAAAACCAGGTCATCTACTTTCCCACAATTCTCCTGCAGCCGACACAATGCAAGGATGCAATTAAAGTATTTGATGAGGCACTTCTCTGCCCTGATTAAAAAAACATGACGACGTTTTGAAACAGGTGGTTGGAAACTGGGCTAGGCGCGATAGAATGTCACTTTGGGCGACTGATATTAACGACTTGTCATTAACGACGGAGGAAATCAAACACTGCGACAATTTATTCTACCACAAGCAGTCAAATACAATTTGTACAACTTATTCAAGTAGCACTTTATTCTATATCTGTGACAAACTAAACACGTTAGGCCACATTGGTAGATTTGTGAATGGATGTTGCGCGTGTGAACGGGCTTGACAACGCACAAAAAGGAATCACAAAAAGGATAGATCCAGGTTTTGAAACACATTGGGCAGTGTTCTCCGCAACCATCAAAAGACAACAAATGACGCCTGCTTTTATACTGTCTAGTATCAGTCTACGAATGCTCAAGTGCACCTTATATATTTGCCACCTAAGGCTTCAACGGCTCTTATGCCCACAGGCTGTTAATCTCAGCACATGTATAGGTGACATATATCGTCCGTTCACTGATTAACAAGGTGACAGCCTTTAGCTCGCCGGCACGATAGCCCGAACTTCACTTGTTTTAACATCACTGTCGTGAGACAACGCAGGCTCAGAGAAGACGTGGTTATGTTTGATTTACATTAAGAGCAGGAAAATTCCTCCTTTCTAGTACACTCTGCAACACTCAACGCTTCATCTACAAGGATTTATGTTTGTTAATAAACGGTTGTGGACTGTGACTCAAATGTATTTGCTGTTGTCAGGCATCCAACTCTCGAAGCCAGAGTTTGAGCATTGGGTTGGGATGTGAAGCCCTCGGAAGACTACAACCACCGAGGTGATGAAGAACGCCACGTTTAAAAATCTACGGCGGATTACATCCGTAAAAGGTAATAGTTTTGCATTCCCCAGCGTTGTTGTATGTTTACATGTTTTATTTTTGTCAAAATATGACTCCGTTATTTTAAGAGAGAGATGACATATTTCTGGCTTCTCAAGAAGAATCTGATATACATGAAAGGAAGCGGCTGCCTGCTTCATGTAATAAAAGCTGTCAAGTTTTGTTGTGGAGAGTAAAGATGCGCGATTCTCTTTCATTTCATCCCCTTTCATCTCTTTGGATTCACAAAATGACAGTTGTGTGCTTAGTCATCTTTGTACTTCGTATTAATGATGTTTGATGAATGAAATCCTCAAGTGAAGCACCCATCAGAAAACATCTCGCCTGTTTATTTGTCTGAGGGCCCGCTCCAAACTGGATTAATAGCAAATATAACCAAATGATTAACGAAGCTTACTGAATGATATTTACTCAAATTCTTACATTCTTACATGATAAATGCACAAATTTCCTGCCTTCTGCGACATGAATCTCATAGTGACTCATCGATATTTTCTTTCAGCAACACATCGAGAATTACGCAATTGCTGTAGTACTTTTACTTCAATTTTCCACCCTTTGGATCGGATTCACGACCTACTCAGACAGGATTACAGCATCTATCCTTTTCAAAAGAGCAGTGTGTATGCGCAAAACAGCTCTTGTTTATATCTATTGAGCAAACAGTGACACAGGAGTAATACTCACAAAGGATATGCAGGCAGCCAGTAAAAGGATTCGCACGAGCAGATCTTCAAACTGTTCAACCACTAGTGCCCAAAGGGACTTGCCTTTCAAGAGAAAAACAATGACGACGTTTAAATGAAGTGCATTTTCAACACATTATTTGAAAAGAAAGTGAATTGTGTACTCACCCTCCTCAGCTGGCAATTCTGCATATCATCGTAAAGGAAACCCAGAGAGAGAAAAAAAACAAGTTCAAGACGGATCAATAATTTCTATTCAATAACAGTAAACTAACGTACAGCAGTTGGACAATCGGTATTCATAGTGTGAATCTGGCAGTTCGTTTACACATTTCATTACGCAAAAAGTGATGTCAAGCTACTTTTGTTCAACGTGACGTCCGTTATCTGAGCACGGTGGCACGGGCCATATAACGTTACATGCCACAAGCACGTTTATGGAACCACAATCCTTACCGTTGGGTCCGTATCGTTCCCGTTGTTTCTTGATTTGCTCCGAGCTTAGGCCGGTACTCTCGTTCACGTTAAAAAAGCTGTAAACTTCTTCAACCGTCTTAGTGTGCGCGTTGTCCATTGTGAACGGCCACTCGAAGAGACCCGTTTGCCTGTAATGGACCCGACCTCGACCTGACACGGTCCTTCCTTCCTTCTACACTACTGGGCTTTAAATTAAAATTAAAAACTAAAAATGCCTTTTACTGTGGTATTGCGTGTAAATAACTTAAACAGAACAAAAACAGCGAGCAGGTGTCTGTTTAAAGGGGCCGAATTAGCGGCTAAGGTGCTAACGACTAGTTAGCCGCTAAAGCTAAGCTAAAATTTCGGCTCTGGCTTGATTTCGCCGGTCGCGCTTTGCTCGCTCTCCCGAGAAATATTCAACGGATAACTCATATCATCGACGCCGTAAACGTGCGCACCGATCTTCTGTATACACGACGGAGCTCGAAAAAAACCGACACAGACAAATTATTTAAACATGCGGTTGTTTGGTAACTCAGTCCTAGCCTGTTTTGCCTATGTAATTATTACGAGTTCACCAGCGTCCTCTTCGCTATCAATTGCAATTGTCCTCCGCAGCCTTAGTGTGAGTCGAATGCGGTGTTCGGTGTCCGCATGTGGAACCCTCTGATTGGTTGTTCAAACCAGTAGAGTCTTTTTCCTGATTGGTTACTCAAACCGGAAGTCCCTCAATCGCCATCTTAATTTCCTTTGGAAAAAAACGTTAATTAAAAAAACTCTCCACCATTTGTTGTCTGTAGTATCAGATTTAAATTGATCCAACAATAAATCACACATTTTATCCTTATTTATGCAACGTACGATTTACTACACATGTTTTTTGCAAAGATAAAGTAAATAAATGAGGGCGGACCTGGTTTTTGGGTTGTGACGTTGGCATGAAACTAAAGAACATTGCAGCTTGACATTGGCTCTCGTGAATGTGCATTCTGTGACCACTCGTAACAAAAAAAATTGCAGTGCATCGACAGCCGTCATCCTTGACCACATATAAGGACATTACAATTTTTAAACATGAAAAGAATGTGTCAATAACATTTTACATCAAACATTGTACATTTAAACAGGAGCATAGTAGGCCCAAGTGTTCATCACCAATGATTCAAAGGTTTTCTTTCCAGTATTATTGTAAGCCATAGCAATATGCATCGTGTGAACATTAACACTGTGTTTGAAAATAGAAATGGTTAAAAGGGGAAAAAATGGTGATTAGTACGTTTATTGTCTCTTCTCATATTACAAGGCATTGGAATGGAATACGAAGTTATCACCACATTAAAAAAAATCTGTTATACCAACAACTCATGATATGAAAGGGTAATTGTCATTCAGTGTGTGCACGTCACAAGAGAAATTCAAGGGTTATTTTAATGATTGTGTCTAGTTGTCAATGGCATAATGAGTATCTCGATGTCTCCCTTGACAAACGCCTATGGGACTCAGTTGATTGGTGTGGGACCACTCTCCGAATGCTTTCCACAGCTCAGATGCTGTCTTCCTAAATTGTATTCTCATATCCTGTTGTTATAGTGTCAACTGCTGTTCTTTTCTTTTTTCTGATCTCTCTCTCCTATATGTGTCTATAGCTATACTTATTTGTCATGTCCTTATTTATCGTAGTTGCTTTTTATTAATGATACAAGGTAGCCTGATGAAAGATGATTCTGATTCTATCCTCTCACTGTCCAACACTTTATATTAAAAAAAGTTTGATTGATACAAATGACAGGTTGACAGGCATGTAGCCATTCAATCCCGAAAAGTGCAGCTTTCTCGCGGACTGGCATGATGGCAAAGCATTTGAAGTGGGATGGGACAATTTCAGAACTGTTGAAGATCTTAGTGAAACTGGAGCCAGCTCATCAGCACAGGCCTTCAGGCACTACAGAGACAAATTTGTGTAAAATGACCATCTAAATCTCGTCTATTTGCTAAAAAACCTTCATCATAGGGGATTAGATTTTGTTGACTTTATTGGATCGTGACATGACATGTCACTGTAGTAACTTACTGTAAAACCCTTAGAAATTGGAAGCATACATTATGTTTCTTGGCAACCAATTCCTCAAACAACATGGATATAGACACCTCTCTGTTCTGAATGTATTGTACTTCTTGGTGTAAACTTCCTGGTGATGCATGATTAATTTAGTTCAGGATGCAAGGGCCCTATGATGCAATTTTTTGGAGAGGGTGAGGTGCCACAAAGCGGATTTAACCAGTGTTACACGCTTTTGCTGCACTCCAGTGGATACAAAGTTTACTACATACTGGGTCACAAACGACTTCCAGCCCACACAACTGCACGTTTCTGAGTGATAGAATTTACAATCTGTATATTGCATGGTCATTCGTCATTTCTATATTTCGGTACTCAAATACGCAAGCCGGCACAAACTCTCTCTTTTTTCTAACTGTCATTTACATAGGTTGTTTTATTCACGAGTGCGAGCATTGGGCAATAATTCAGATCTCCAATCGATCGCCAAGAACGCCTTGATTGAAATTCGTTAATAAACCATATCTAATAAAGTAGTTAACAGAATGTTCAAGGTAGAAGTAGCTATTAAAAAATACACCTGTTTTTTAAGACAAATGTTGCCATTCTAAAAATTATGAATCGATATAAAGTATTAGGTGAATCATACGTTTAAACTTAAACACAATGCAACAAAACAGTGATAATAATAATAATAATAATAATAATAATAATAATAATAATAAGCCGAATAATAAATAACAAGAACTTGTTTTTCACAAGAATAAACGCTGTGTTCAAGGTTGTTACAGTGAAGTCGCGCGATAAAAACAAACCACGCGATATTTCCAACCGGGGTTAAAGTTGATATTTTCCATGTGCTTAAATGGCGGCGATATCGTCAATTTACGGATATGTATAATAGAATTATTAAATTGAAAAAAACGTGGAATCGTTGGGAAAATAAATACGTTTTCTTCCTTAGCACGTTCAAATCTCATTTCGTTCTCAGTTAGTTTGGTTTTATTACGATGTCTTGTGCTATTCCGACTTAGCTATTTCACCCTGTATCGTATGGTTTTGGTTGTGTCGTCTCCCTTAAATTTAGATGGCTCAGGGGACATGTTTCAAACCAGACTGCCGCTAAGGGCCTTAGTAACCAGTAGACGGGTAGTAGCAGCAAACGGTAAGATTTTCCACACGTAAAACGAGTGTAACTTCACTTTTCACATACTTCTTCTATAATGGTTTAAATGCGTCGTCCTCTAGGTGGTCTTGTAAAATTACTTTCCAGTATGAGTGAAGCATCACAAAGCGCACCGGCTGCAAATCTCTTGAAACGATCCAAAGAGGAAAATGAGGTTGTTCAAACTACTAAAAGAGCCAAATCTGATGGAGACAACACCGAAGAGGAAAGGCGATACCCCAAAAAGAAAGTCATCCTCCTGATGGCATACTGTGGCAAGGGCTACTATGGAATGCAGGTACATTAAAAAACAGCACTCCCAAAATTCAGCATTCCCCTCCTTATTCTTTTCATTTCTATTTTAGCGCAATCCTGGGAACACTCAGTTCAGGACAATAGAGGATGATCTCGTTGCAGCTCTGATCAAATCAGGCTGCATTCCTGAAAACCATGGCGATGAAATGAAGAAGATGTCTTTCCAAAGATGTGCCAGGACTGATAAGGTAGGCCTGTCATCTCCCTACATTCGTTTTCGACAGCAGTTCTCCTCATAGAGGTTGTGGGCGTGCTGGAGCCTATCCAAGGTAACTTTGGTTGGGAGGCAGGGTGCATCATGGACTGCTCTGCCACCTAAGTGCAGAGCACATAGACACACACACACACATTTATCCCACACTCAGGTTCACAAATAACATGCATGTTTTTCGAATGTGTGAGGAAGCTGGAGTACCCGAGTCGAAAAATTAAACTTCAAAGGGGAAGGCTACAGCTCATATTAATAAAACTCCCTAACAAATGTAATACATTTGAAATGTGATCGATCACTAATCTGACAGTCCATATTTACTATTTGATGTTGTTTAGGGTGTGTCAGCAGCAGGCCAAGTGGTGTCTCTGAAGCTGTGGTTGATTGAAGATATTGTTGAAAAAATCAACAAGCACCTGCCACCTCAAATCAGAATCCTTGGTGAGAAATGTTTTCATTTAATTAAATATACACAGTCTACAATAATTAAATATGTCATACTCCAACGTGTTGGAGGTCAAGTCATTAAAATATTGGATTGGATACAACTGTAGACAAAGTATGAAAATTAATCACAAAGGAGAATAAATCAAAATACATATGAGATTATCAAAGATCTTTCGGAAGCCACAGTAAATTTAGCACAGTTCGGAGGTAACCAGAGGTAACTTGCACAATAGACGAAGAGCATTCAGGATAATTATGGTGATTGACAGATTTCGTGAAATTAGTCTACTTTGTGATGTAACATTTTGGTCACATTTCCATTCATTTTAATGGGGAAAACTATTTGAGTCTCTTCACTTATGTGCACGGGCGCAGAACAAATTAAAGTCATATCTAAAGACACCACAACACTGCTTTTTTTTTTTTTTTTTTGTACCCTCCAACTCCAGGTCTGAAACGAGTGACCCAAGGATTCAATTCCAAAAACAACTGTGACGCTCGCACGTATTCTTACCTTCTTCCAACGGTGGCCTTTTCTCATAAAGACTATGAAACAAATGACACGGCATCCTTTCGCCTCGATCCGGAGACGTTACAGAGAGTCAACATTCTGTTTGCGAGATACAAGGGAACCCACAATTTCCACAACTTCACCTCCCAGAAGGCTCCAAAGGACCCCAGTGCCCGTCGTTACATCACAGAGATGTCCTGCGGAGAACCTTTTATCCTCAGTAATAACGAATTTGCCGTCATAAAAGTGCGAGGCCAGAGCTTTATGATGCACCAAATCCGGAAGATGATCGGCCTTGTCATCGCGATCATTAAGGGATACGCGGAGGAGAACGTCATTGATCGGAGTTGGGAACAAGACAAAGTGGACGTGCCCAAAGCTCCGGGACTCGGCTTGGTCCTGGAAAGGGTCCACTTCGACAGGTATAACAAACGCTTTGGAGGGGACGGGCTACATGAGTGTCTCGAATGGGATGGTGAAGAGGAAGCCATCAAGGCCTTCAAGGAGGCTCACATTTATCCTACAATTGTGGAGACGGAGTGTCAGGAGGGATCCATGCGCAGCTGGATGGCCACCCTGCCCATACATGACTTTCACGGCACAGCCAATGAAACGCAGAATAATAAAGAGCAGAAAGAGGTATCTGGGAATATTTAGGAATATATATTTTTTGCTTTTATCTTGACTAATAATTGCTTCTTTTATTCCAGGAAGAAGCAGATATCACAAATGACTCTGATTAAGAAGAAACCTGCAGACCTTTTTTTTTTCCATGAAAAAAGTTTTTTACAAACTTTGTATTTCAATTTGCTTTTCAGTAGTTAAGGTTCCTCATTGAGACGTTGTTTCTGTTTTCTATTAAAGAGTTACTGTACATCAATAAAAAAAATAATAAAAGCCCTTTGAATTACTCCACCATGGCCAATTGATTTACAGTATATGCCAGGATCACCCTCTTAGAAATGTGGATTATTGATAGCCTTTCCAATGTGGCGCAAGATAAAGTGCATCAAATTTGAGACTGAGAGGAGTCTGATTGATCTACGGATGCTTCAGTATACTGTAATACTTTTGCAATACACGACATAGAAAAGTGCGCTACCTACTGACGGCGATTTTCATGGCCCTGTCGCTTGTTTCAGACATTGTATTAGATACACAGGTATTAACACCTTACATTTTGATTTACTTTATTAACTTGCAACCCTGAGGAGGGTAAGTGGTATGAAATTTATCAAGGTTGAACGATGTAAATTATAGGCACGTTACTTGTATAAATACATCAGATGCCATTCAAATTAGAATAAAAACACTTCATTTAGTTCAGTAGTTAAAAAAAAAAAGAAACAGTTTCACTGAGCTTGTACTGAAATGTTACTTTTCTTTAAATATGATTTTAATTACTATATTTCTTATCTAATGAGAATCCAAAGATTACAATTTCAAAATGTCGGAATATTACATAAAACATTTTCAATTATACAAATTAAGAAGTGATTAAAAGGTTTGAATCAAACTCCTGAAACTTGTACCATAGTCTCAATTATTGATATGCACCATTATCCATTTGGATCAGTCTACATTAAATTAAAATTAAATTGCAGATACATTGGGTTAATAATTAAAGCACTAACATTCACATTTTACTGAGAGATTTCATTTTAAAATATTTAAATACGTTTCACTCCTAACTGTTGCTCAGGAAAGTTCTACAGATGGCCTATGGGGGCAGCAATATGCCACATCCAGAAGTGTGAGTAGAAGAAGAAGCACCCCCCCCCCCCCGACACAAACATGGCGCCCTCCCATAAGCGAAACGTGAAGCTGGGAAAACTTTCAAAACCAAGTGTCAAAATAGCGAAAATTGACCTAAACAGTACAGTCGATAATATACTTGAGAGCAAAAAACACGCCAATGACGTTTTTGACGTATTTGAATTTCTTCAGGTATGTATAAACACACTGCTATGCAAACACGCTGCCATTCCAAGTAATGTTCGTGGCTTCTTGCAGTCAGAAAGGGAGAAAGATGTTATCACGGCTGTCGAGGCGTGCAGCAATTTATTTTCCACACTGTTGGAAAGAAAGGAGCTCTTTAAAGGCAAACTGCCAGCAGAAGACGACGCACTAAGTGGTAGGTCCATGTGTGTGTAGGCTTAAAACACTCCATTATCTCAGGATTTATCAAAACACGTTTTATATTTTAAACTCGTATTCATCTCATTGCCAGGTGAATGTAGCGCTGAAGACAAATACCATATCTTCATAAGACACCGTTATAACAACTGCGTAGAGATGCTGCTTGAACATCTTAGTCATGAACTTCATGCGATCCAGGTAAATTGGCTCAAAATAGAATACAGAGGAACGAAATCATTGTACTATTTTTGGTAAACATTTGTTCAAACATAGGAAGCTTCCTTGTGCTGCTTGATGAAGTTCGCAGCGGCAGAAGGACAACATCCCCTTGAGGACTTGGACTGGAGTGAACACTACAGTTTCCCACGGGAACTGATGCAGGTATTTTATGTTTTCTCATTCGGAATGCCCATCTCTTTTTTTTTTTTTCCTCTGGAAGGAGCCTTGTTGTATATATTGCGTGTCTTGTGTAGGCAATAGTGGACAGACTGCTGTCCCGAACTATGGACAAGTCTCTGCTGATCTCTCGGTTCCATGAATTCCTGGAGAAAGATGATATCCGCTATTACGTCATGAGTTCCATCCGTGAGAATGTCGGCAAAGTTATGGACAAAAGCAAAGGGGTAAGATAACTTTGCGGTGTATTACAGTACTTATCAGTGTCTCACTGAGACCACCGTTCATGTAATTTTATCTGGCTGTTTTTCTTTTCTCTCCAGGAAGTGATGCCTGTATATCAACACAACGTTTTCACTCTCATATCCAACATCAGTATGCCAAAGGAGGAGTCAGAGCTTTCCAACTTTATGGTTAAACAGGAAGGTGAGACTGGCTGCTTCAAAATATTATTCATTTAAATCACACTGATTACGTTTTGTGCCCTTATTTCAGCGAAACACGAACACTGGAAAGCTGCTAAACTCATTGTACGTAGGCTCTTCTTGACCTATCACGTCATTTGCCCATGTTGTAATTGTCTCAAAGAATTTCACGTTCTTTTCTCATGGCAGGAACACAAGCGTACCTTCGAGAGGATGTGGCTTGGCTTCCTCAAGTATAAAGTAACGTGAAATGTGGCACTGCACAAACTTGCCTTATGCCTCCACATCGATGACACCAACTCTCACCTTGTCAAACCATCTCATCTCTTTTTGTTATTTTAGTTGCCGGGTAACATGTACAAAAAGGTCTTGGTGATCCTCCATGATGCCATTTTGCCCCACATGAGCAAACCTACGTTGATGATTGACTTCTTGACTGCCGCTTACGATGTCGGTAGGTTTTTTGTTTGGTTTTTTTCCAGCGGCTCACTGTTGAAAGTAGCCCCTTTCACATGACCTCTCCGTAAATTTGCGCATCAGAGGTGTGATGATAGTCAGATTAAGACCAAATTTGTAGTACATTGCTGTATCCGTTGTGCATTAAGGAGTCACACATTCAGAAAATTAGCAGCACGCGGACGTCAGCGGACGACGACAATTTGCTTTCAACATAATGTACAGTGGATCTTGGGTGGGAAACCTCTCACTCTCCCTGCACACACAGGCATGCTTTTGTTACACTTCTGATATTATTTTGGGAGACACCAAATTCTATCGACGGCATAACACTCGCATCGTTTTTCGCATGTGTAGAGTCACCATTGATGCAAAGCATCGCACGGATGTCTCTTTTGAATAGGTGGAGCCATCAGCCTGTTGGCCCTCAACGGACTTTTTGTCCTCATGCATGAGCACAACCTGTGAGTATTATGCACTAGTATCAAATTGTTGAATAGTCAGAAAGTTAAAAAAAAAAAAAAAAGGAGTTTGTTGAATCACCTACTTTACATTTCCTGACATTGGTGTGTTTCAGCGATTACCCAGACTTCTACAAGAAATTGTATAATCTCCTGGAACCTTCCATTTTCCATGTCAAGTACAGAGCCCGTTTTTTCCATTTGGCCAACCTGTTCCTTAGTTCCAGGTAAGGCCTTCATACACCATCCCCTGACTGCGCTGTAAGTTTATTCAGTGAAACCATACGTGAACAATTTCAACTCCAGCCACCTGCCGGTGTACCTCGTGGCTGCTTTTGCCAAACGTCTGGCCCGTTTGGCCCTCACAGCCCCGCCCACAGCGCTCCTCATCGTGCTGCCCTTCATCTACAACCTGATCCGCCGCCACCCTTCCTCTCGGGTTCTCATTCACAAGCCCAGCGCAGAAGATGGTCGGTTCTTATGCATCCAGGGCCTGTGAGAAACCCACTGAAACCTCCCTAACTGTGTGTCAAATGTGTTTCACGATAACAGAGCCTTTGGAAGACCCATATCTGATGGATGAGGACGATCCCGCTCAGTGCCACGCCTTAGAGAGTAGCCTGTGGGAAATTAAGGTGTGTAAGGTTGTATTCCCTGACGCTGACTGAAAACATCACAGTGAGTTTGCCAAAGCTGCTCCTCCCGATTTGCTGCAGACATTGCAGAGACATTACCATCCAGATGTGGCCAAAACCGCGACGCTCATCAACACGCCCTTGTCACAAAAGGAGGACGACATTAGTGAGGTGCTTGAGATAACAACTTTTGAGGTGACGCACGTCTTTTTCTTCATTTTCTGTCTGTCAGCCTGACAAATAATGTGTATGTCTACTTTTTAAGATTGTGGGAGTGTTTGAGGAGGCTGTTAATTGACAATACTTGCAATGCAGTTCTAGATGTTGTTTTTAGGAACATTTACAAAACTTTAGCTTTACAGATGACATGTCTGTTCTGTAGGCGGTATGTGTTGGAGTACAGACATCTACCACCATACGTGGTGGTATTAGTTATAAACAGTGTTCCCCTGAGGCGATAACGAGATTTCACTTTTTTTTTCTTGTCCTGCTTACCCTAACATCTCAAACCCCATTGCCATGTTACCAAGCACAATAAATGTTTTCTCAGCTGATGGAGCGAAACTTGAAGCAGACATTGACCAAGAGCATCCCACTGGAGTTTGAAGCCGCCACGCAGCTGCTCAGCGTTGGAAAAGATGTGATGGGACAGCACTTCTGTCTGGAGTAAAAGCGTGGGATCAATACTAGTGACTGTTTAATATCTGCGGGTTGATTGCAACCCAGCATGAAGATGCCTTTGCTTCGAAAGAAGTGTGAAGACCAAGGGACATGTTGACGTGCCTCATCTATATTTTTAAAAATGTTTTTACACAACTCATCACAGTCTCAAGATTTTTTTTAGCGTGTTCTCTGACTAATCCCAACTTTATGAAACACCATGAAATGACTGCACAATTGAGTAAATGAATAGGCAAAGCACTACTTTTGTCCATAAATTGCACGTGATGTCATATTGTTCCTTTCACATCAAAACATCAGTGAATGCTATTGCGATCCATGTTTGTTGTTTCAACGGCAACCATCAAAGCAACACAGTATGTAAACATGCCCCAGAATAAAATTGAAGTAATGAAGCATATCATGTTTAAATGCCTTTTTGGTCATTTTTAACAAGCATAACTTGATTTTCTGTTGATGTGTGAGCTGAACCTCAAATGCTCCCTCTTTGTGAAATGTGCCATATGGCCACGCAGCAGGCAGCCTTTGGGCTGAAGAACACTGTGGGGAAACAATTCGGGACTTGAGTCTCTGAAGAGCAAGTCGTCGGGGAGACGCCTTGCAAAAACTCGGCTCGCAGGATGCGCACATTTCTAGACATGCCGCAACAGTTTAAAAAAACAGATTTCTTAAGCAGAAAGAGGTTTAGAAGGTGGTCATGTGCCAAGATCCTGAGGGTGAGGTGCCAGAAGAATGCAGCATTTCTAAAATGGGTGCAGGTAACAGAAGAACATTTGAAAGGTGGGTGAGCTTAGTCTCTTATTTAGCTCTTACTTGTGACAGTAACTTTAAATTCTTGACATACTATGCGTAAATAAACAAAACTAGTGTGACTATTCAGAAGCCCCTTTCAATCAATTTTGAATATTTTGTAAAACTCAGAAAAAAATCAAAGAAATGAGATTCATATTGCATTACATACAGGGTGGAGATGACGGCACGCACACACAAAATACCACTTGATTTTTGGTTGCGCATGATTAAAATGTATTTAACACTTGATGGTTTACCATATTTGTATCATGCGCAACCGATGTACATGTTTGAATTACAATAAAAATTTCTGCTTAACCAATTATGACAGATATTTTTGATGATTAAATTAAGTAGTAATAGGCCATCTGAAAAGTGTTTTCAGCAAATGTTGGGACATTATGTCTAATATAAATAAAAAACAGAATACAATGGTTTGGAAATCATGTTCAATCTATTTAATTGAACACACTACAACGACAAGATATTCTTTGTTCAAACTGAAACTTTGTTTTCCCCAAATAATCATAAACGTGGAATTTCATGGCTGCGACACATCCCCAAAAAGTTGTTGTGTTATATCACCTTTTGTTTCAAAAACATTCAATAAACGTTTGTAAAGTGGGGAAACTATTAGTTGAAGTTTTGTACTGTACAATAGATGGAATTCTTTCCCATTCTTGCTTGATATCCAGTACAGCTTTCCGCTGTTCAACAGTCCGGGGTCTCCGTTTTCGTATTTTACGCTTCAGAATGCGACACCCATTTTCAAGAAAGATGTTATAAACTGGGATTTAGCCGCGGCAAATAAATGTTAGTATGATTGTGTCGAGAGATTTAATGTAATCCTCGATTACATAATCGGAGTGGAGCCCGCTCGGCCCCATCCTGAACACATGCGTTCACGTTGGTTGTATCGCAGCCCATCAATCACTTCAGTCATCTTCTACAAATGCAGACAACTAATGAAGAACTGATAGAACCTGTCACGGATGTTTGATTTGTGCCTGAAAGAAAGCAAATTATGCGATTTTATTAGAACAAGATGCAGGAATTCTCACAGTAAGTGACAACCCGTACTGTTTGCTCATACTGTACTGAATTGGTTGTTTGACATTTTGTGAGAAGAGTTGGTATAAACTGTTATTTACATTGAGCAGTTATTGATTCAAGCCATTCATTCATCCCACCATCCATCATTTGAACCGAAACAAAAAAAATGTACTAAACATTTCATTAGAAAGTGCCTCATGACCAATATACAGAAATACCTCGTTTTTCGTGGTTAATTGTAATCTGACACCCCCGCCCCCTCCGCGAAAAGTGAAAAACCGCGAAGTAGCATCTCTGCACTGTGAGGCGGACGTGCTAACCAGTTGACCACCGTTACATCTATACACTTGTTATTTTTATTTTTATTATTATTATAAAAACCTAATGTGCTCGAGAAAAAAAAGCATATTCGGGATCGGCGCATAAAATTAATATGGCAAAATGTACTTCTGTCTGCGATTACAAATATTTAGCAACAACTTGTTGACCAGTGTATTTTTCAACAATAATGAATATGGTGCAAGCTTATGAAATAGTATCCTTGAAGAAGAACATGATTTTTTTTTTTCAATCCAGCACCCTCTGCTGCATCTTGGTGGGCATTGCGCCATCAGCCACTAATGCAAAAGTGATTGTCTGCCACTGGGTAAAACATTTTCTGCACGATAATTTTCAACAGCACTTGTCCTCATCAGGCTCCAGCTCACACGTGACCGGATTGCGGGGTACATATAAACAAACAACTTGGATGTAACAGAATATGCATATGCATCCTTTGCATAAATCAAAGACCATGTGCTTCTGTGGGGCTGTGATGATGCTTTTCGCATGGTGACTCACATGTGTATATTTTTGCTGGCGGTGTGTGTTTTGCAGGTGATAATGCGGGATCACACATCCAGTGTTAATGTGGAAGAGCTGCTGAGGCACTCTCAGATGGAGTTACAGTGGATCCAGAGACAGCTGGCCACGATCGCTGCCAGGAATACAAACCTTCACCACATACACGCCAAGGCAAAGGTACTGAGCTGCTGCAATGCATACATTTGGTGTCCAAACTTCTGAATGTTACTGTGGCTAACAAAGTTAATGTACGTTAAGGACTAAAAAGTACACCCTTAGTATTTGCTTTGTTGGCAACTGGCACACATTATGACCGGTTTCGCTTTGGCTGTCCAAAAATAGCAAGTATCTAAAATAACTGCTCTATTAATTTGATTGGAAATAGGTCACATGTGAGTCATTGCTTGTAATAGCAATAAGGCGCATGCTAAAATAGATAAGCTGAAACAACTTTTCCATTTTTATTCAAGCCCAAATCGACATATTTAATCAAACATCTTCAACGCCCCGCGAGGAAAATCGCATTTTCACGAGCATTAGAATATCCTGTCTATGATTTAATTTCATGTTTCTTTTGTATGACTCAGAGGGGTAAAATTCAGTTGACGAGTGTTAAAATCAAAGTTGAGCTAGGGTGCAGGTCAACACTTGAGGATAATGTCCCAGCCTGACAAGGTTAAATGCCTCCTGGCCCCTTGGCATTTTCCCGACTTTGAGGAGTTCACGGCGTATTTCCCCGCCAATCCGGCTCTCCGTCTGCTCCTAAATCCCGACTCTCACGGCTCCGTGTCATGCCTGAAGATAATGCGTCTGGAGCAAGGAAGGAAACAGACGGCCGGCGAGTGTTGCTAGGTAACAGAGTGGAACAGAGAGTACATTCCTGCTCTCCTTTCTCACTCACGCACACTGTAGTGTCCCTCTGTTCTCTCCTTGGACCCATCAAGGACTACTGACACAACAGTAACTTAAGATGTGAATACAAGTTTATAGAGTACTATTTTTCTCATATCTATCTATGTAGACTTTGTAACTACATATGCATCCATCAAGTTGCAGAACCACTGATATTTCCCTTCATTTCAAAGAGCAATGACAACATTCTGCAATAATTCAAGCCAAACTCCTCAAGCCCAATTTAACAGTTAACAACATAACAGCGCGAAACCGCCATGTGTTGGGATGAAAATCAGCACCTCCAAATCTCATACCATAGTCCTCAGTCAGAAAAGGGTGACCTGCTTTCTCCGGGTTGGCTATGACATCCCGAAGAGTTCAGTTATCTTGGGGTCTTGTGAGGGTAGGATGGAATCTGAGATCAACAGGAGGATTGTTGCAACGTCCCCCGTATTGGTCTGTTGTGCTTAAGAAGGAGCTGAGCCGAAAGGCGAAGCTCTCGATTTATTGGTCTACGTTCCTACTCTCACTTATAGTCACAAGCTGTGGATTGTGACCGAGAGAACAAGGTCCCAAATACAATCAACCGAAATGAGTTTCCTCCGCAGGGTTGTCTCCCTTAGAGATAAGGTGAGAAGCTCGGTCATCCGGGAGGGACTCAGAGTCGAGCCGCTGCTCCTCTACGTTGAGAGGAGCCAGATGAGGTGGCTCGGACATCTGATGATCATATCTGTCAACTTGTATGTTTTCCCCGTATTTTATACGTTGTTTTATCATTTCAAATCATGTACGGCGTATTACAACTTTTATACGGGAAAAAAAACCCAAACAATTGTGAACCGATCTCACAAAGACCATTTTGGCTCAAATCCAGATCGTCTCACCTGCTGGTAGCCAACGACATTGCCGTCGTCGATCGCTACTATTGTCACGGCAAACCAGCGAAAGTAATCCTCAATCGTATATTTTTTGTCATCGCTGCGTACGGTCGGGTTGATAAAACATGATGTGCGCAATGCGTGGTAAGCCATTGTATGGGTTTTTGTTGCTTTCTAAGGGGAATCGTAATCATTTATAAGGGCAGCTATTAGCCGAGGTTGACAGGTATGGATTACGATGCCTTGGTATGGCCTGGTAATGCCTTGGGACCTCTCCAGAAAAATTGGAAGAAGTGGCTGGGGAGAGGGAAATCTGGGCTTCCCTGCTGAAGCTACTGCCTCTGTGACCTGACCCCGGATAAGCAGCAGTTGATGGAGATAGATTAACCCAACCCCCCCAAAAAAACAAAACAAAACAAAACACACACACACAAATGGGCTGTGTGGGTGTTCAAAGCACAAGCTGGATAGGAGCAGCGAGTTTGAGCCAACTCCTCATGCAGGGACGGACGGGGCTGAGGGAATGTCTGTGTGTGTGTGACAGTGATGTGAAGCCACTGCAAGTGTCTTTGCTCACACTGACTCGCAGCCAGCTACAGTTTTGCACACACTCGGCACGCTATTAAAGCTGCAGATTAGAGAGGCTCGTAACCACACAAGCACACAGATCTCCATCACGTGCCGGATTTTGACTTGACGGGAAAAGGAGCCGAGTGGAGTGGAAGGTAGGCACTGCATCAGCAAAGGCAACACATTATGCACCACTACCTCATTCAGGATGCAACGTGGATTGTCTTCATGCACCTTTGTGGCTAAAAGAGGAGCAGCACCCACGAGAGGCAGGCAACAGCAAGAGGAAGGGTTTTAGACTCAGGATATTCTAAGGATGTCAAGGCTTTATGGGTTTGAATGTGCTCGGCCTTGGTGCAGCCGGGATGCAAGTAAGGGTATCACTCGCTCACCAGATGGCGATATGACAATCTATTTAAATGATCCTGAGTCAAGATTGAGATTACCACGGGGGATAAATCCGAAAGAGCTAACGTTTACTTGAAACATTAAGGCATTGCTTACATGAAATAATTTTTATAAAAATCATACATACAAAATATGTGTGGTGGGGGGGGGGGAATCTATCTCCATACATACACACGTACTTGAACCGAATTTTGCCGCATTACGGTTCATGAACACTTTGGCTTATTACACTACTGTCTTTAAATTCTGGTTATTACAGTAGCATTTGGAAATCTAACTAAGTTTTAGGTGGCACTTGGCGTAAAAAGTTTGCGAACCACTTACTTCGCATGTGACGCAACTTTCCAATTAATAATAGCATTTATCACAGTACATGATTTGCATTTTTATTTTGATCTCGTATTATTCCTTGTCTTTCAGTCAAAGGCGGAGGTTTCATCCCGGCTCGGCTCTTCAACTCAAAACCTGAGTCGCTTTCGCCTCCTGGAGGAACGAAATCAAGTTTTGAGACGAGAAGTGGCCGCTCTCCGCCAAGAGAGGCAACAGTACCGCAAACTGGTAAATTACCGTTCACGGTTAACTTTGTCACCAAATCAACTGGATGTATGATGCCTCCTATCTGCTTGCCTATTTATAGATATGATTGGAAATGTGGTTGAGTGGCTATTGTGCACAGCTGTGCGTGGGCGCGTCGGCATTGTTGGTACTGTACGTTCATGCGCGCACTGGTGCATCGAGAGCCCTCTCCCAGGTGGTCTCGGATGGCGAGGCGTGTGAACGGTCGCCCTGGCAACCCGCCCATTGGAGCGCACGCCGGATGGCGGAGGGGGGGAGTGACAGCTTGATGGCTGACACTGATGTAAAAAGCTGACCCAGTCATATCCGGTTTTCGATATCAATCATACACGTATATCTGTGTGACACACACTGTGTCCCTGAAACGCTTTAGCACGATCACTCATATTTGTTCACGTTTGTTGTTTTAAAATATGCATTTTATGATTGGGAGGAAATATACTGTCTAATACAAGTAAATATTGACTTTTGATGTTGTACTTTTACTTGCCACTGGGTGATGCTAAAATAACTTTATGCATCCCCCTGACATGAATGGTGTCTATTCACAGTGGAATTATAATTCATGTAGCTTTTAAATAACCTTTTTATTTTTTGGGGGCGAGGAACTATATTTGGTGACTTCAGTCTAAATGTACACCACAGGCCTCATTATTTAAGACAGATGTTGAAGGCAGCCATGAAGCAAATTATTGAAACAATCCATCCATTTTAGTATCGATTTGTGAGGAAAAAAAAGATCAAATCCGGAGATAGTCGTTTTTAGCCTGGCAGTGATCTATCGATAGATTTAATCATTTCAAATTTTGCATCCACAAAAAAAGTGCATGATTGGCCCCGTTTCTTATCATACATGAAACATTGGAAAAATTATTCCACTGATTTCACAGTTGTCTGTTTCTTGGTGAGATTAATCGTCGCTGGTCGTGTTTTTTAAAATATGGTTGCACGAGCGGGCAGAAAAGTGACTACATATACCAGCTAAATTGGCAACACCGATTGAGATTTTGTAAACCAACTCCTCTCTGTTTGCAGCCATGCTGTTTCTGGGGGGCTGTAAACGTAACTAAATTCATCTGAATCAAGTGACTTTCTTCGAAACATGTTTTGAAAATTTCGTGTCAAAATACAGACATATACATACAATACATTTTGCTTTTTAGCATCTGGACAGGCCAACAAATGAACATTTGCCAGAGAATAGATGCACCAATAAATATTGCTTGCAGGCCAGTTTAGGCTCAGCAATTCAATTTTTGAATCTGCGCTTGTTCAAATCAATGTACTCTCTCGTTGCAAATATCAAAGAACCGGATAAAAGTGACTGTTTCCCAGAAAAAAAACAGAATCCGTGCACTGGTTGCCTGGAAACAATCAGTGATAGACAGTTGGTGAAAGGTGGCCTCGTTGTATCAGGTGACCTGTGTTTTGTGTGGCTACTGCTTAAAAGGCCACAGCTGTCAACCCAGGATGATGTTTCCATGGCAACGATTGTACACAGTAGACCTTGTGATCATATAGGTTGTTCCGCAGGAACGAGGAATAACAGTTAAGTCAAGTAATCCCAAATAGCTGTGTTGTTACCCCGGCGCAACAAGTAATATATGCCTTCACACCTTCCCATAACAGATTTTCACACAAACCAGGTTTAATAATAGTCCAATCGCATCTCACATCACATGAATGCCACCGCCGACAATGTTACCAACCGCAGGGTAAATGGGGGGAAAAAAAAGTCAGTGTTTTGAAGCAATACCGAGATTCGACTTTTCTTATCTTAATTGAATTCCTTTCACACTATTTTTCCACTCCAGGTAAAATAGACTCGAACTGCATTTTATTTTGGATTACAAGCGAAACTACATTATAAATAGTGAGTCAAGCTTTGCAAGTGTAAAATAGGAAAAATATTAAAGGAAAGCAAAATGACAGAACAATAAGAAGGAAATTGTTGTGCATTTAGGTGCCCTTTTTATTTTTGCATCTTTCTCAGAAATATTGCAGAAATTTTAATTGGGGCCAAAAATTAAAAAAAGGCCTGCTTGGATTAATGTGAAATCCTATTAACTGGATTATATCGTTTTCGGGACCGAGCATTATCCATCTATCCACACTTCCATAAACCATCTATGAGCCCCCCTCCCCTCCCCCACATAAACTGATGTCAATATGATGTAATTAGTCATCATGACAAGGCGGCGTAGGCAGTGTGATAGCAAGTGTGCCTTGTTTTGTCATTGAGGGTTACAAACTGTTAAACTGTGAGGATTAACATTTGGAACAAACAGAAAGTCATCATCACACAGTGGAGCCTCACTTTAGGCAACCTAGTCTTGAACTGATTTGCTTTTCCCCCCGTGGCCGGTCACGGTGTGCCAAGTACGTTTAGAAGGAACTATAAACAGATCCTCCACGTGCGAGTGATTAAAGTTAGCTGGCGAGATCACAAATCTGTGAAGTGGGCACATGGAGACCGCCTTCGACCCAGACTGCACGTATCCATCTAGTGATGGAGCCGAATCGAAAAAGAATGCACGGTTAGACGAGTTGAAGTTGAAGGTCTCATTTCGGTGTCTTGTTATGGCTCAGTAATTCGGCATTTAACAGGGTTATAATGTTGTGTCTCATCGAATCTGTTTGCAGGGTTTTATCCCCAAGTCTATATTTGATTATCATGAAGAGCCGTGTTCATATTTCACAGTAAATTCAGAGCAGCATCCCAAATCTGCCTCCTGTAAAATCCGGAGACTGGCTTGGATCTGCTTTCTATTAATAATACCACAGAGGCTCATCAGTGAACGACGCCTTTTGTGTAAGTCCTAAAGCGAATGCGGCATCAATGCTCAGTTAGTGTCACGGCTAAATACTCGAAACCAATGAGAGCGTAGAGAGTGTCAGGTCCTTCCTATTTGCTGCATATTGTCGATACATCCAAAAAAGAAGCCCACTGCTGGGGCTGGCTGATTGTCATTCAACAGCATGAGGAGAGGAAATTGAGCACAGAGTGAAGAGTGAAGGGGAAGGAACGATGGAGGGAGGGTGTTTAGGAGGAGGGTCTTCGACAGGGCGCGGGCGAGTGTGTGTGGATGAGAAGGCGGAGATAAGAGAAAGCGAGAGACCGAGAGAGAGAGAGAGAGAGAGAGAGAGAGAGAGAGAGAGAGCGGGAGGAAGGGAGGGAAAAAGACGCAGGCCCTGAAGCTGCCACTGATGCTGCTGCTGATGCTGCAGCCGTGTGACGACTCCCCACCCAGAGAAGGAAAGGAGAGGAAAGGGAAGGGGAAGGAAGCGACACCCCCCATCAACATGTGCTGCTATTAGCCTCACGCGGTAAATATCAACCGAGCTCTCTCTCCTTGTCTGTTCACTGCTGCTCCGCGTCAGTGTTTCATCCAGCTGCCTCCTATATATAGTGCTGAAGGGTTAGCATAGCCTGACAGCTGCATAGGAGCAACCTGACCGCATGTGCGATCAGGAGGAAGGAAGGGACGTCCAATAGAGAGATAGAAGAATTTTGCATTTGTGGCATTTGGAAGTGGAGGAAAATAGCCAGCGTCTGTGTTTCCCGACTGAAGCTGAGCCACCTGTTTGGAGATGAGTGGGTGTGTGCAGTGTGTGTGTGTGTGTGTGTGTGTGTGTGTGTGTGTGTGTGTGTGTGTGAGAGAGATAGTGTGTGGGTGTAAGGCAAGGGGGTGGGGTTTGTCTTCAGCTGGAATCATATTCTTTTGTTTTCTTTTGTGATAATGCAGAGAGGTGACGTTATCGGGCTGGAAACGTTTGCACATGTTCACAAGCAGGCAGGGGGAAAGTCAAATGTGTGGCCGCCCTGTCAAAAAAAAAATCGATCTGCTATGTGCGCGTATTGGGCGTAGTGTGTGTGTGTGTGTGTGTGTGTGTGTGTGTGTGATCCGTCTTTGGTAACCTGAGCTTTTCCTGGTTCCTGCATGCTACAAGGTTGCCAGGTGTCCAGGTGTTGGGAGTTTTAACCCACTCATGTCTCTCTCACCAAGGTGAGGATGGTTTGGGATTTTTCATGATCGTTAGAATTTATTTCGTTTGGAGCCATTATCCGAGCCGCTTATCCTCACGAGGGTAACGGGCGGGCTGGATCCGATCCCGGCAGTCGTGCACCCCGTGCTGCCCGTTTAAACTTTTTTTTTTTTTTTCTAATTCCTTTAGTTTTAACGGGTTTTTAGATGTTCGTTTGGAAAATGTTTCCTTTTTATTTTTTTATTGGTTTTAGTATTAGATTTATTAATTAATTGATTTTTTAAAAATATATGGAGTAGGAGTTTGCTCCCATACTGGAAATAAAAAAAATTAGTATGATAGTTACCACCAGTTAGCAGTTTGTAATGACACATTACCACTCCCGACAGGGCTGGAGTGGAACAGTATCATGAGTAGACCTTAGTATTTATGGTCCCTTTTCCATTAACTGCTTTCTTTGGCTTCTGACCGACTGTTACGACTCCCTGACTCATGTCAAAAAATAGAGGGAACATATACAGCAAACTGTAACTCCTGTTCTGGCCTCCTTTGAGGTACCTCATCCTTCTCCTCCTGCCCGGTGCCTCAAGTCAGCTGATCAACTGCTCCCGGAGGTACGAAAATCGAAACGGAAGATATTTTAAATGTTGCTTTCTAACATCCACATACCTACAAGAGAACCGTCTCTATAGCAACCCCTTCACCCCTCCCTCCCCATACCCAACCTCTGTTCGCGTGTGTGTTCATGCAACATGTGAAGCTCCCATAGTTGAGCCCGAAGATGAGCGAGTGCCATATTTATAGCGAGTGTACACGCCATAAGTATCGACGCCATTTAGCCTGTGGGAAGAGCACGGAAGGGAAATGAAATTCAAGCAAATTGTCCTCCTCACGTTTGTTGGCAGCTTTTCAACATGCACACCAGACATGTTTAAAGGGGAGATGGAGCACTGCGGGAGGAAAACGGAAGCGGGCGAGGGCGAAAAGAGAGTGGA